CCTTTCCTTCCATCTTTGATGGTACGGGCAAGGTAAAAAGGAATTTGAATGAAAATCATAGTAAGTGAGTCATGAAATGAGAACGAGTGCCAGAATAAGCAAGCAAAGTGGGTGAAATTGTGACACGACCACAGCATCATTACAGTAAAATATGTATTAGAAGCCACATCCCTAATAGAAGCCGCACCCATTCTTTTTGAATAATTGAGACCCAAAAATTCACCATTTCTCATTTGTGTAGATGCTCTAATAGAAGCCGCATCCCCTCTGTTGTATTATTTCATTTTATAAGAAGCCACGGCTCTTAATACAGAGTTTACAGTACCCCTTTTTATAATAATTGTGGATCAGACACTGAAACATATGCACAACTTGTAGAGTAATAACATGCATGGTACCAAATTGAGTGCAATATTTATGTCTTTCGAAAAATAGACATTTATCACTTTTAATCTCACCTCCATCGTCATCCAACTCTAGAAGACAAAATAGGCTTGTGTCAACATGCTTCATGTCAAATTTATGAAGAGCTAGTTGTAGGACTTTATAACAAGGCGTTGACTGGGATATCGTCATCAGTTTGCCCTTGGCTTTGTGACCAGTGATGCGGTCCATGACCTGATGCAGAAAAATAAGTACCATCAACATAAATATTATTGTACACTGTGTGCAGAAATTGTGGTCAATGTGGTCGTATTCATTTCAATTTTGTATTGACCCAAATGCAGATATATTGTTGTGTATAGTATGGTAAAATACACAGATCAAATTTACACATTCACACCTTTAGCCAATGAGAAATTATGCCTGTTTGGTCCAAAATAAAAAAAAAAAAAAAAAATAGAAAAAATAAATGAAACATGCCAAATATTGCACCTAAATTAAGATGGGAAAAGCTTGTGATGCTAAACGAGTTAGAAAATGTGGCCGTCATAAATACTATGAAATTTAACAGAATTTTATCAAGGCTGAGGTAATTTGGGGCGTTACATGGTAGGTAGGCTACAAAATCTGCAGGATCTCATGTCTAAATATCAACTGCCTTTGTTCCTTGGTGATACACGGCAATTTTTCTCCATGACTCGACATTTAGTGATGATGCCATCAAGAAGCAACTGTTCAATATTAAGAGTACCATGGGGAGCATATCCAATTATGAATGGGACCCAAGAGAAAAATCAGAGATGAACATTGATAATCTAAAAATTTCAAAATTCCAAAAAGATTCAATTTACAGTAATCAATTATCTACAGTCTAGATATGTTTAACATATAGCAATGAATTGACAAGTTAGAAAGGTTTCAAGCCAAGTCAGCTATCAGTAACTTAGGTGTACTTAGAATAGAGCAATCTTAGGTAATTACCAGTACGTGCAAGTGAAGAAATAATAAAATATTATTCAACTTTTGGAAGTATAATCTACTCAAGTTTTCTTACCTTAATTTGACTTCCATGTTTTTTCTTCAGTTCAAACCTAAATGACGACATGTCTGGCCAGTTGTGTTGGATCTTTAATGGATTCTCGTTTGCTCTGAGTTCTCTTTCTGGAACTGGACAAGAACAAAGTTATTGTTACAACTATTATCAAAAGAAGATTCACTCACAATGTTGGGAAACATGCACTTCCAGATTTTTACACGTCAGTTCAATCAATATCCAATAGATTATCTCTCAAAGCTATTGAGTCATATAGCCAATAAGAAGTAGGCTTTTGTAGACTGGGCCAAGTAGCCAATAGGAAGGACTTTTTGTAGACTGGGCCAAGTAGCCAATAAGAAGTAGGCTTTTGTAGACTGGGCCAAGTAGCCAATAGGAAGGACTTTTTGTAGACTGGGCCAAGTAGCCAATAAGAAGTAGGCTTTTGTAGACCGGGTCAAGTAGCCAATAGGAAGGACTTTTTGTAGACTGGGCCAAGTAGCCAATAAGAAGTAGGCTTTTGTAGACTGGGCCAAGTAGCCAATAGGAAGGACTTTTTGTAGACTGGGCCAAGTAGCCAATAAGAAGTAGGCTTTTGTAGACTGGACCAAGTAGCCAATAGGAAGGACTTTTTGTAGACTGGGCCAAGTAGCCAATAGGAAGGACTTTTTGTAGACTGGGCCAAGTAGCCAATAAGAAGTAGGCTTTTGTAGACTGGGCCAAGTAGCCAATAGGAAGGACTTTTTGTAGACTGGGCCAAGTAGCCAATAAGAAGTAGGCTTTTGTAGACTGGA